AATGCGGAGCACGAGCGCGCTATTTCCCACGCGTGATAGCCCAAGTTCCGATGTATCAATTGACGCAGAATCTGATGCAGATACACTTGACTCTGGAATATAAAGTCATTACATTTAAGTTACATAATTAGAAATAATAAGAAATTATTAAAAATAATAAAATTGTTAATGTTCTGAATAATTTCTGAATAATTCTTTGAGAACTTGATAAATTATCCTAACTAATATATCACTATATTTATTTGTATATATCAGAGTTGTCTACATACGGAAAGAAATAAAATTAATACCGTAAGCTCCAATAAATTGAAGGGCAGTGAAAAGGGCGAGTTAGTATCCGACGTGAATAGCACGGTGTCGTTTTCGGCTCCCAGTAGAATCGCGTCTTCAAAGAGTATCGCCAATGGGTAAATGCGCAAGTGAAATGGTAGCATTATCCGCTTGCTCATAAAGGCATGGGCCTTCTCCTGATGATTACGGAATAGCGGCAACCAAACTCGCATTCCGTGAGCCCCGCAGAACAACCACAGAGCCTCAGTTAAGTGCGGCTTGTCCCTCCTTGAGCGCGACGGTACCCAAACGTTCTCGACGTAGGATGCTAATACTGTCGGCGCGCCGCACGTGAAGAGGACCTCCGAATTGTCGGTAGAATGTTCACGTTGTACCATGAGAAGACGTCCGGAGACGTTCAGCAGGAGACTCTCAGGGTGAGGATGACTGCCAGCGGTCTCGGCGCGAATCGAGGTCAACGTGGCGCTGACTACGCAAGCGGGATGTACGCACAGTCCACTGATGTCCACCGTTTGTATTCTCGTTAATTCGATGCCGGCAGCTTCTAAAATAATAGCATGTCCATTGAGTGAGGATTAATTGAAACTTTTTCAAAATCGATTTCAAAATGTAGAAGCAATCTCGCACTTACCCACGCCGTTTTGCAACACCATATCGTAGATACTAATTTGAGCATTGGCACAGAAACTTAGGAGTCTGTCTTTCATCGTATTCAATAGTAGCACCTGCGAGGGCATCCTAATGCTCTTGACATAATTATTATCGAGCCGAGTATCGCGCGGATAAATTCTAATCTCATCTTTATCGTCCAATATGGAATAACTGCTGGCTATGAGATATCCTTTATGCCATAACAATCCACCAGTCACTATGAAATCTCGCTCTTGACTCTCGTTACCGAACAATTTCCATTTTCTCGAAGGTAGGGAGTAATGTGCTAGTCCCGTTCGACCGGCCACTGCAAGACTTAAACCTTCGCTATCTATTGCAGTGTACTATAAACATAAATACACATATATGAATTAAAACATGATATTTGAAAATATGATATACACAAGATATTTAAAAAACAAAACTTTTAAAAGTCTTTTTCATTAATGTTATATTAACGAATTATTTATAATATCAAATGATCAACAAAATTACATGATAAAATAATAAAAATAAAGTTAAATAATCTGAAAATTGTCAGTAATTTGCAATACGTTTTTCTGCAAATATTATATTTACCCGAATCGGCCAATTAGAACCACTGTATGCAGTCGGAATAGGAACAACGAGCCACTGTTTGCAGCCGGCGAGTGTCTGGAGCATACTGTCGTTGGGCATTTCGGCGGCAAGATGAAAACCCGAAGCGGTCGAGGATAATCCGGCGCCCAGATTTAAATACAGTCTATCTTCACCTTGAAGATATAAATGTCCATGATGGCCCATACATGGATTGATAGTCAGAGGACTCTTAGCAAAGTCCAATTGAATGAGAGAGCGATTTGAATTAGTCGCTGTGTTGCCGTTTTCGTTGGTAATCAAAGATCCTGGAGATTCTCGCAGCATCCACAACTGATAACCCTCCGCGGACCATTCCATCGTATGGATATGCAGAGGATTATCGTGCGTCAGATCCACACGTAGGCCGTAATCCCATTTCAAGCTACAGAGCAATAGAGCACCAAAGGTACTCCACAGTGCTAAGCCACCGCCTTCCCAAGCTAGAGCGATGGCACAACTATCGGGCGTCCATCTGAGACATCTCACGCTACCCGGTCGGCCTGGATAATCCTTGGAGGATAGACTCAGGGTGTGCGACATCTCTAAACCGCCAGTTGTTTCATCGACATAGTATACGACGCCTTCGGAGCTGCAAATTAAAATATTCGAGTCACAATATGTTGCACAGATATGAAAATTATAGTGACATTTTATAAAATAATAATGATACATTTATAAACTCAAGAATAGCATTATAAAATTAACACTTACTTTTGCCTACCAACAGCAATTAGCCGATATTTATGATTAACAGCGGCGCAAGTAGCATCGTCCAAATCCTGAGCCCAGATCCCCTGCACTTGATTAGGATCAAACTTCAAAGATTGAGCAGTGAGAAATGCGGCTTTGCCATTATTTAGCACAATAGCGAAACCTCCAACGAGAGGTGAATACTCGATATCGGTAACATAAACGTTATTCTCCGTCAGTGGTACGGCCACCGTAGAAATTTGCTGATCAATACTGAACGGTATACGTCTCAGGTCTAAGGAATAGTCGCGATTCACGGTGCCGTCCCATTTATGGCGCACCACATGGCTAGTTTTGGTCGCTACCATAAGCTCGTCTCGTATACAAACCAACGAACTGATCCCACCGTCGATCCAAGCAGACTTTTCCTGCAGAATAAACAAGATAATGTTAAATCACTATTTCCATTCAACCTTGATGAACCTTGATGAATGATAATTTAATCGGTTAACTAATAATACACAATTAATTTCACTTTAAATTTCTCTTTGCTCTTGACAAGGAAACATTATCAAAAAACTCACAAAACTCAAGACGAGGGATGGAATGACTTCTTTGATAAATAATTCTGCGCTATCCCGTTTCAAGCTGGTAACCGGCGAGTCTCGTTGTTCATAAAGTCCCCGACCCTCCGCGCTGTTGTCTGAAAGTCTGTAGAACAGCAGGTAGCTGTCGGACGTGGCGATAACCAGCATACTCGAGTCTGGCCTCCACTGCACCAAGACGTTCTCACCATGTTGCCACAAAGAGTTTGCAGACCGTCTGCTAAATACAATCGGTACACAGGGCTGCAATATAAATTGAGTCAAAAATTATCAGATACAGAAACATCTGAGGAAATTACAAAGGGGAACATGTGCAGCTTAACACATGGAAAAGATTTAATCGTAAAAGATACAAGGAATCATAAAAGCATGTATAGTCACAATGAAATTGTTAGCAGCAATTTGCCAGCAGATTAGATCAGAACATTGCAGCAAATTGGCATCAACTGCGTCTACATTACTTACCCAGCTAGCAGTGACATCAAATGCCATCTTAGTGACAGAAACTTGACGTGTTGCCGTCACTAAGACGGCATTATTAAGACAATAGCAGTCACTAAATGTCACTTTGCTATCTGGGTATGTTCTGCCAGCTGAGCTTGTCAACATAGCTCGACAGCAGATTGTTGAAAGAAATCAAGGAAAATTGAGCAAAATCTGTTACTTTGTAAGCATTTAGGTGGAATTTAAATAACTTCAAGATAACAGATTCTGTTCAATTTCTGCGGTCAAATCTATTTTCGACAGATTTGACTACCCGAGTAGAGTCACACGGAAATTTATGATCTCAGTACAGATAATAAAACTGTACATCCCTGCTGTTAACGTATTATGGACGGATATTGTTCTATAACGAGAAAATCGCGCAGAGTTCCGATCTTACTGAACATGAAGTTATTAACCGAATTCTCGCTCCAAATCTAAGATTTGGAACTACGACTTGCGACGGATGAGAGAAGAGATCGTTCTCGGCCTAAATTACGTGCCTTGCAGTACCAGATGACGATGGCATCCGCGGTGAGAATGGCGAACATAATTTTGTCCCTGTTGCACACCACCGCGTTTATCTTGCCCTGCTCGCAGGTGTTGAGGACCCGCGGCCATCCTACGGGGAAAAACATGATTTCGCGCGAGAGGCGTGCCGTCACACTTTCTCAGATCTCCCTCATGTTTCGCCTACGTCTTCCCACGACGCCGCGGGTTTGACAAGTAAACACTCCCTAATCCTAACCTCGACATAGCGAGACAGGAGACTTCGGACAGAGAGAAGCCTGAGAGAGCAGAGAGGCCATCCCGGTCTTTTTCAGCTGTACACTAGCGCCATTACATCCATTTTCGAAATTGCTACTACGTAGCCACGTTCATTTTCCGACACTGCCGATTCTGCTGATGAAACATCATTTTGGTGCGCGTCCGTGCTACATCTGCAATTTGCGTGGTTTCTTCTGCATGATAATGCACAATTTAATTTTATTTAATCTAGTACTAGTATCAAGGAAAAAGTATATGTATATAAGCAATATTTTTAAAGGCCGTCCCGCTTGTCCGAATGTCATTGCGATTAAATGCATTTTGGACTTTGCATTTTCTTATTGTTAGTTATAAATTTAAATATTAGTTTTTATCTTAGATTTTGACCAACATCCGCTAGAAATGGGTCAACCTTATAGAGGCCCTCCACCGCCCCCGCCGATTCCGTTCGGCGGTCCTCTTTTATTTACAATACGTTTTTTTCATATTTCTATCATTTATTATATTTCTCTTACAATTTACTTTACAATATAATAATATAATGTACAACATTATAAAAGAGCTAGTTATTACAATACCTGTTAGGAATTATTCTCGGAATGATTATCAAACGAGAGCACGTGCAATGCCAATTCTCATATGTTAGTTGGAGGAATTGGAGGAATATTGCTCCCAATTTAATTTGAAAAATAGGAAGACTGTGACAAGGACAGAAAACTTTAAACAGTTAGATACAGATATGAAAAACATGTTCATACGTAAAGTAAACGAATTTTTCGGACCAAATTTTTAGATTTTTGATCTTTTTTTTAGATCTAACAATTAATAAGTCCAATTTTTTGTTTTAACACATTCATTACTATAGTATTTTAGCTTTCGATTCACGTTGGATAAATATATTATTTATATTTATAAAAAAAACACAGTAGAATATGTTTTAATATATAAGGTGGTAAGTCCCAAGAATCGAAAACCCGGATCTTCTGCTTATTGTCAGCTAGGTAATATAACTAGTTTATAGCACATGATTTATTCAGCATTCCGACAATAGAATATATAATATTGAGTTGTAAAAAAGAATTTATAAATGTTATTTAACTGTCATCCCATGATGATCACCGATGATCAAAGATTAAGGCATAAAATGAATAAGAAATTCAGTGTCATAATGGTGACTGTGTTAGAATCATATAATATGTAATACATTTTAAATAAAGAGGGAAGAGATTTTTTTCTGGTTCTATATAAAATTATTCCCTTATAGAAATTTAATACTGTAAGTGATTTTTTGGCTAGTGATTAATCATTTAAAAGCACTATTAACAGTGCTTTTAAGTGATTAATTACTAGCCAAAAAATCACTTACAGTATTAAATTTTTATAAGGGTTGTTCAACTTCTAATGAAGAATTCCGGATATATCTCCCAATTATCATTTCGGTTAAAGAATTGAAAATTCTGTTGTGAGTAAAAAGAATATGAAATTTTGTCTTTTTCTAGTTCCAACAATTAGAAAAAAGTAAAAAGTAAATTAAACCGAGATTAAAGTCAATCTACATTGGTATAAAATGGTCATGAAGCTGCTTTTCCGCCGAACGCGACCATTATTGCGTTGCCACTTGTCAGAGGTTCCTCTCTGGCGACGCATAGAAATCTCATAGGAAAAATAGAGAGATTGGTAGAGCAACTGACAATTCATACTTTCACAGTCAAAGCAGAGAGAAGCCTTCTCTCTGGTCAAAGGTAGTAAATGCTTGGACACGTGCTGGTTAGAACGTGCCTGGGCGTGCATTCATCCAAATGTTCACGCATCATGTCCGACTGCGTCATCCTGAAGTAACGTGACGTGATTTTGTAATATAGATTACAAGAGATCTTGAGCCGCGCCATGTCTTACCTGATTACCTAAATTTCTCGATACTCCAGCAATTTTTGCGGTTTTTGAAAACAATATTTTAGGAGTATAAGCCAATGTGAACTCTCGTCTGATTTATCTTGCCGATTTTTCAGACTCTGGGGTTTTTGCTGTTTAAATGTTGAAATTGCTAGAGTTACCAAATGCCACCTATCGCTCGATTCTTTTTATACTTTGTTCATATTTTTTTGGAGCTTAGATTTCAACGGCAGTTCTTGCAAAATAAAAATTCTCATATCTTCCAAACTTTGAAAACCTGACAAAGCATCAAGCAGTATAAGAAAAAATAAGAAATAAAATAAAAGGTGATGCTAAAACTAAAATTCCAAGATTGTTGATCATAAACTCTCTTTTTTTGTTATTTGTACTAAGATTGATAATACTAATTCAATATATAACACATCATGCACGCCCATAGTTAATGCAATTTTTGTATTTTAATATTTATACATCCAGTATACATTTCAATTAAATGAAAAAGAGATAGCGACATTGATTACTCCAAATGCTTTTTATATTTCACGAAATCTCAGCACTTGAAACGAAATACCTCATCATTTAATGCACGTATTAAATACATAATCGCAACTTATTCATATAGAAGAATTGAGACAATGCGATATAGCAGTCCTTTTAAATCAATAAATAAATGATAAAACGAAATATAAATATTGCAACAATTCGTATGCAGCGCAAAAGACAAATGGTACAACTAGATGTGAAAACATACCGGTTTCTAATTATTATTTGTTAACAGTTGTAAACGCTGTATACACGACAATATTAAGCTTCGCGCGTTTTTCATATAAACAATATAGTAGGGTTTTTTTCTCGTACAGGTTACAGCGAAATAAATTGGCTAGTCGTCACCATGCATACAAATTTTTATTTAGTTGACCATATGCCATGATTAAAAAATTCTGCCCTATATTTGCACTGCCTCGAGTCTCATACGTGTGTCACTAAATAAATTGCGCTTACGTGCATTTCATGCCTTTATCGAACAGCGTTCTTTCCGAGTCTTCGTGGTAGTGTCGATTGCAGCATCCGAGCAGGTTGCAAGGAAGACAGGGAATCGGGTTTTGCGTACTGGTGACAGTGAATCACCGGCATCTCGTTTCCGCGCAGCTTCTTTATTTTCGCTCTTACTCGTCATCGCTGGTATTTATATGTATGTACAGAAAACCGTTAACCAATTCGCGTCGTTTGTAGAAGAATCGCGGGAAGGTAAAGAATACCGAGTCATTGTAAAAGCAGTTTTTTTTTCCTGCGCATGCACTTCTCGTCTGACGTTAGTTGATAAAAGGAATATTTCGTAGAAAAAGTTTCTTTTTCCCATCAGGATACAACTTGTCTTACCTACAATTGAATGGAAAGATAATTAGAGGAAATTACAGGTCCCATATCCCAACGAAATCTATCTTTGTCAAGACCTACTACCGTTGCCTTCTCTAGTCTAAATTTCCTGAATTAATAGTCTGAACGATTAATATAAAAAAGCTACCAAGACAAAATGATATACGCGGACATCGCCGCAATATATATATTATTTTTCTTCTGATCAGACCGTATAGCTACCGTAGATGTGAGAGCGATAAATGAAACGTTTCTTTAAAAGGATGATGATTAACTTGACAAAGTCACCAATCGAGTAACTATGTCGACGTAGAGTAATAATGACATGTTTCTTCTCGAGTATCGGATATATACAGAATTTATTTCCGTATAGTAATTAGAAAATATAATTAAGCCGCGCTAAATTATGTTGATGTTCGTTATGAAGTAGTTGGTAGGTGTACGTTGTTTACGATAGCTCGCGCGAAGTTCGCTCTTCCTCCTAGCGACTCCCACGAGACGAAAAATACATATCGTGCCAGCGGCAAAATGTCTCCCGTGTTCTTTCCTGCGAAACTCCTTGCGGTGAAAAAAATGACGGAGCCATTTCGACAAGCGAAATGTCCGCGTGTCGAGAAAGCGCGGTAGACGCGCGATCTCGCGTGCACGAAGCGCCAATCTTCGCGATTGGATCGTTGCTTTCTCATTCCCGATCGTAGCTCGCGTTAAAGTCCTCACGAGGTACTCCGCTGTAGACAATGCTGTCGAATTCGTCTCCTGCGAGTCGTGCAAAGGAGGGTGAGTAACGTCGGCTGGTGTACGCCGTTGTTCGCCCGGCGGCATATTCGCACGGAAACTATCGGTGTATGCACGGAAACTATTACAATAGTTATTTCTTCTTCTGGGCTTTCTCAGCGGCCTTGGTGACTTTGCCCGTTTGATCCTTAAAGGTGACGGCCTTGATGACACCGACAGCTACTGTCTGACGCATGTCACGGACAGCGAAACGTCCCAAGGGCGGGAACTCCTGGAACGACTCAACGCACATAGGCTTGCTGGGTACCAGGGTGACGATGGCGGCGTCACCGGACTTGATGGCCTTCGGGTTCTCTTCGGTGGTCTTGCCGGTACGGCGGTCGCACTTCTCCTTGATCTCTGCGAATTTGCAGGCGATGTGGGCAGTATGGCAATCCAATACGGGCGTGTATCCGTTGCTGATTTGACCAGGGTGATTGAGCACGATGACCTGTAAACGGACAATTGCATTAATTACATGCTCATAATTTACATGTTTCAAAATGCCTTAAAAGTTAATAACATTTATAATTTTTATATTTAAATATTAAGACACTCAGACGCATTCAACCATCATCAGAAAACTTCTGGTGGAAACCGCGAATGAAGACATTAGTTTCTCATCATAGTGTCGAAAAGATAAATTAAAACGAGTACAATTAAATTTGACGAGCGTACCTGTGCGGTAAAGTCGGCGGCACCCTTGGGCGGATTGTTCTTGGAATCTCCAGCGACGTATCCACGACGCAGTTCCTTAACGGACACGTTCTTGACGTTGAAACCAACGTTGTCGCCGGGCACGGCCTCCTGAAGGGCTTCGTGGTGCATCTCGACGGACTTAACTTCAGTGGTCAATCCAGCGGGCGCAAAGGTAACAACCATACCAGGTTTCAATACACCGGTCTCAACACGGCCGACGGGTACCGTTCCAATACCGCCGATCTTGTACACGTCCTGCAATTACGAGAAAAATATGTTAAAAGATATTATTCCATTTCAATAAAGTTAATCATTCACTTAATAATATCGCGTAGAATCAGACAAACTTTGGCCGTCAAAGGATTAAAAATCCTCCGGTGGAAACCACGAATGAAATAGTAAAATCTTATCATCATGTAAAATTACTCGCGTGGAAGATTGAGAATAGCGAAATTAAGACAACGTTACCTGAAGGGGAAGACGGAGAGCCTTGTCAGTCGGCCTGCTGGGTGGCAGGATGGCGTCCAGAGCTTCGATAAGGCATTTACCTTCGGCCTTGCCTTCCTTACGCTCCACCGCCCATCCCTTGAACCAGGGCATCTTGGAAGATTGCTCAAGCATGTTGTCCCCGTGCCAGCCGGAGATCGGCACAAACGCAACAGCGGCCGGGTTATAACCAATCTTCTTGATGTAGGACGACACTTCCTTCTTAATTTCCTCGAATCGGGTCTCGGAGTACGGGGGCTCGGTGGAATCCATTTTGTTAACTCCGACAATCAACTGTTTGACGCCGAGGGTGAACGCGAGAAGAGCGTGCTCGCGGGTCTGTCCGTTCTTCGAAATTCCAGCCTCGAATTCACCAGTACCAGCGGCAACGATCAGCACCGCGCAATCGGCCTGCGAGGTACCGGTGATCATGTTTTTGATAAAATCTCTGTGTCCGGGAGCATCGATGATCGTCACGTAGTATTTGGCGGTCTCGAACTTCCACAGGGCGATATCAATGGTGATACCACGCTCACGTTCGGCTTTGAGTTTGTCGAGTACCCAGGCGTATTTGAAGGAACCTTTGCCCATCTAAAGAAAAAAAAGCAATCGTCTCAATAATATTTTTACTCCTTTTCATATTCCTCTATCATTATCAGATGCGTTTTAACGTTCTAATGTTATTGAAAAAGACTTTAGCGAAATGACATTCAGACACTCTAGGCCGTCAACGGATTCAAAAACGATCCTCGGGTGGAAACCGCGAATGAGAAAAAAATGTATCATCACCATGTCGCAACGCTAACACACCGGTTTATATAGTTTTATAATTGTGTAGAAATTGTGGGACGTTACCTCCTGGGCTTCTTTCTCGAACTTCTCAATGGTACGCTTGTCGATACCGCCGCATTTGTAGATCAAATGACCGGTGGTGGTCGACTTGCCGGAATCGACGTGTCCGATAACGACGATATTAATGTGAATCTTCTCCTTGCCCATTTTTGTAGTTTTAGGCGAGTTCTTCTAGTAATCTGAGAATAAAAAAAATATACGAGTTAGAGCACGTCACCCGAAGAAAATTCAGGCTTTCGATCGCACTACCCAGGTAGCATTAATGTCTAAAAGACATCGTAAAGATGTCTTTAAGATGCCAGAAATCTTAAAGATGTCTTTTAGACATTAATTGCTACCTAGGTACATTTAATTCGTATCTAATTCGCGCACCGGTGACTATCCGACCGTCCGTATCGAGATCAATTGATAATCGCGAGCCGCAATATGGAACCGAACGTGGTGTCCGGAGCAACCGAGGTGCTCCGAGGGGGGGGGGGAATCGCCGCGATTCGCGTCTTCCGTCCGATTTCGCGCCGGCCACGCGTTGCGCCAGATGGTGCAACGGTTTTTCCCCGGACGCATGTCGAACGCCGCCGCGCGTGGACCCGATCGGGCGACATCCGGCGGTCTTTGTCCCGGCCGTCCACGTGGCCGAACGTGAATATTCGAGAATGGCATGGCAGCCGGCCGCCATTTTGTAAGTGACGAGGAGGAGCGGCGCGCTGTTGCCACGATTGTCCGCGACGCTCGGCACCGCGCGCGCGATGCCACGTTATTACGGATCCTCTCTCTCTTTTTTTTCTTTTTTTCCCCTTTTCTTTCTTTCCCTCTTACGAAACTCGCCGAATGGACCGTGAGATTTTTCGCCCACTCTCGACGGAATTGCGGACGGCTAATCTCGGAGTCTCGGAGACGAACGTGGCGGATCAGGTGGCCAAAAATGTGCCGTCGCCGCCACCGCCTCTCTCTCTCTCGCGGTCCAGCAGCTCGCGATGGAAAATTACGGCGAGGGCCCCGCCGAGCCTCCGGATGCCAATTACAGCCGGCGATTCGCGGCGAGCGTGATGGAACGCGACGGGATCGGCGAGGCCGACCCGTTATCGCTTCGCGGAATCGCTTCCTCGGCTCGAGAGAGAGATACCGCCCAGTTTTTTTTCTCTCTCCTTACGAAACCCGACGTCGGTTTCTCCCTTCCCCCCGCGCGATCCGACGACCTTGCTGTGCCCGAGATCGCGCGCGATTCTTCCGCGGATCTTTAACTCCGATCGCGCTAACGGGAGAATATCGTTTTTGCCGAAGGCAAAAGTCAAGCCGGCGCGACGTGTCCCGGTCGTATCCTCTTCGCGAATCGATTTCCAGAAGGCACGTTCCGGAGGCCGCCGGGGCGAGTCAGGTCGTCGGCGTTGCACGGCCTCCGGGCGGACTCGCGGCTCCCCGCGAGAGAGAGAGAGAAGAACAGCACCTTTAACCTCGCGTTTCCGGTTCTCTAGCTCCGCACGCGTCCTGCCGCGAGGCACCGCGGCGATTTTTCGGTGTCGAGCAACGTGCGCGCGCGCGCGCACGAGCACAACCGAGCGAAGGACGATCGCGGAATTTTGGCCGCCGCGCGGGCGAACCTCCTCGAATCTCTCTCTAGCCCCGCGATCGCCGCGAGTTCCAGCGCTCTGACAAGCGCGGCCGCCATAGTGCATCCGGTCCGCTCCTCTCGCGATCTCGAACGGCGTCCGCCGCCGCCACCGGCTCGACCGGCGTTTTTTTCGCCCGCTCGCGATTTTATTTTCGGCGGCCGACGACGATCCCACGGGACGACGCTCGTCGTCGGCGCGCCGGTACGCGCCGCGGATGCCGACGGCCGGCGACGGCTACGGCGACGGACGGGAAAGGAGAGGTCTTCTCGGCGAGGCGGCCGTACGACGACCGGCCATGCGGCACTTGGACCGTCTCGCGGCCGAAACGAGTCGCGAATTTTTGCGCGGCCGGCCGCGACGCGATCGCGAAACTATACGCACAGCACAGCACGCCGCGGTCCCGTCGGCCGTTCTATTCCGTACCTGTCGTCCGATGCGGTATCCTCGGCTGAGATTCGTCGGATAAAGTCGACCGGTGCGCGAACTACGTACAACCACTCACCTCCAGGTGCCACGACAGAAAGAGACCGTGCTCACAAGTGACATGCGCATACGGCGTTTTTCGGGACGGCAAGCCTCGAGCCCAGCCGCGCCGCCGTGCGCGACGCTGGCGCCGCCACGCGCAGGCGCCGCTTTTATTTTAATGCGTAATTTACAAGAAGATAAACACGCGAATTATATATACGTTTGTTTTATAATCGCCGATACTTTCCTCGATTTTCAGCCGCCTTGGATAATTTCGTAATTGGAAAAGGGACGTTTCCCCCGTCGCCACCTTCGTCGTCAAACGCGTCTGGGTTCGAGGCTACGGTTGCGCGTGCGCGTGCGCGCGCGCGCACGCACACGTGGACGCGCCGGGCCCTCGTGCGTGCACGTGCAAGCGCCGCTTCTAGGATCCTATGCGTGCGTGTGTGCGCGCGCGTGACGAAATAGAGAGAGATAGATGGAGAAAGAAAAAGAGAGGGAGAGAGGGAGAGAAAGACGGAGGATAGGATGCGCGCGAGCGAGCGAGAGAGCGTTCTCACGTTGCACTCGTTGCAATCGAATATGCATTTATGCGTCCGTGCTCCGTGCGCAACGTGAGGCAACGTCTGGTTCGACGTTGCGACTTGCGAAGCCGCTGTATTGAATCGCGGAACGCGCCCAACGTCGCGCTCCTTCTCGCGGACCGCGAGCGGAGTCGCTCGCGTTTGGCGAGACTTTTGACGAGAGTCAGGAGTCAGCGAGAGTGGACCGCCCTTTGACGCGCCGCACGCGATTCCAGGACCCCTATTCTGTAACTCTAACGACAGTGTCGGTATCGTTATGTCGTCGTTGCGCAGCTTTTTTTCCATATAGTATACCTGCGCAACGACAACGTAACGATACCGACACTGTCGTTACAAGTTACAGAATAGGGGTCCAGAGCGTTCTTCGCGCGTTGCATCCCGCAACGTTGAACGATGTTGAATTGTTACTGTTGACTGTCGTCGCAGATCGAGGGTGTGACTCGTGACTTCGAGCGAACTCTGATTAACTCGTACCTGATTAATCGGTCGTTGAATCAACCGCCAGAATTGCTTGAGACAAAATTTTTAACCGTACACATTTGTTC